TCCCATCTCCCGAGGCCACCTCGAAGGACAACGCAAAAGAGGGGTGTGTGTGTGGAAAGATACCTTCTTGGCGCCCGTCAACGCTGCTTTCTGGAGCTTGCTGTAACAATACTTGGCGTAAGTGCTTACCGCCACCCCTACAAGAGAGAAGGGAGGAAGGAGAGAGGAAGAGGAAGAGAGAAAGAGAAGAAAAAAAAAAGTCAGAGCACAGACAGTTCATGAGCGGCCACCCCAACAGGAAGAGGCTAAGAGGAGAGACCCAAGCAGTTGACCGAGAAGAAGCCACGCAACCAGAAGAGGTGTCCTGTGTGAGAGGTCCCACGTCCCAAAGGTGCTTCTTCAAGACGCAACTGGACTTTCTTGTTTTTCCTTTGAAGATGTTTCGCTTCTCATCCAAGAAGCTTCTTCGGCTCTGGATGGATGGTGGGGAAGGGAAGGATTTATACTCCTTACAGAAAGCCGGTCATTTGCCTCCTTTTGGAGAGTCGTTGAGGCCACCTGGAGGTTTATCTGTGTCTTCAGGGTCACCTGAGTGGTGCAAATGGGCGTGGAGCCTTCTCTGTGTTGTAGACTGGAGATAGATGATGCCGTATCCCTCAACCTCTGTTGAGAAAGGGCTGTTCAATTTGGACACAGATGGCCTCTTTGACCCCTTCTTTCAAACCAGCTGTCCAGAATGTGAACTTGGATAAACCTCCAAGTGGCCTCAACGACTCTCCCAAAGGAGGCAAATGACCGGCTGTCCACGAGGCGTATAAATCCTTCCAATTCCCCCACCATCCGGTCAGAGCCGAAGAAGCTTCTTGGAGGAGAAGCGAAACGTCTTCAAAGACGAACAAGGAAGTCCAGTGGCCTCCTGAAAAATCAACCAGGGGGCAACCATGAGCTGGAGGACAGTAGACAAGAGGTCCCAGACCTTCTTCCCATCTGTCTTGAGCATCTTCCTGACGTCCCTACTCCAGAAGGACCCCTGTGGGGCCGAGACGCTGTTCGGAGAAGATCCCATCCTAGCAACTTTCTCTGGAGTCCCCTCAAGTCAACCCTTGGCCAACTCTTCCTTCTTCTTCTGCCTGTTCCTCAATGGCCACCAACTTCAAATCCAGCAGAATTACGGCTAACCCTCTGGGACCACAAGTGAAGGGATGATTAGCCTTGGCCCGGAGAAGACCTCCAAGCCAGGGCTTTTCAACCAGTGGTACGGGTACCACCTGTGGTACATTGGCACCTGGCAGGTGGTACGTGACCACCCTAGAAAAGTGGTAGCGGGGGAGGGGAATGAGCTGAACCGGTGGCAGCACCGCACAAGCCTGAGCGAGAGACGGCTGGAGCTGCAGGGCTGTCAGGGCTCAGCGGAAGCGCCAGGATCAGTGCTGCTTTCCAGCTGATCGGTGCTTCTTCGGGGCTATCAGGGCTCAGTGGAAGCACCAGGATCAGCGCCAGGATCCAGCTGGAGCTCAGCACTGTTCCTGGCGCTTCCGCTGAGCCCAGAAGAAGCGCCGATCAGCTGGAATGTTGCAGCATCTCCAGGGTCTTGTGATTTACATTCCGATGCTTGGCAACTGATTCGTATTTATGACGGTCACAGGGTCCCAGGATCATGTGAAGTGACCAAAACCTGCTGCAACCACCCAGCAGACGGGGGGAATAAAAACCAAACACCCCCCCACCCCACCCCCGCTGCCAATCCTCAACAGAAATGCTCACAACAATGAAAACCTCGGACAGGAGGAAGAGCGCCACCAGGCGGGCAGGCAGGTGTCTTGCTCGGCTGTGCCTTGGGGGACACTTTTTTCAGTGCCGTTGTAACTTTGAACAGTCACTAAGCGGACTGTTGTAAGTCGAGGACTACCTGTACTTTATCACTTTTTTCCTTTTGGGGGGGGGGGTCATCAAGTTTTTGACACCTTGCTAGGCGACTGGTGGTACTCGGATGTTGCCATATCCTAAAAGTGGCACAATGGGTGAAAAGGTTGAAAATCCCTGCTCCATGCCACAAGGAACACCTGCTCCATTATCCAATGGTCGACAGGTACTCCTTGACTTATGACCACCATCGGACCCGACGTTTCCGTCAGTAAGGGAGAACATTTGCTAAGTGAGTTTTGCCCCATTTTTAAGATCTTCGTTGCCACCGTCGGGATGCAAATGGATGAAATGGTTAAGTTACATCACACGGTCGTTAAGCGAAACTGGCTTGCCCCGTGACTTTGCTTCTCAGACGGTCGCGAAAGGGGAATCGTGTGACACACACACACACACACACCGGGACGCTGCAACCGTCGTAAGTACGAGTCAGTCACCCGGCGTCTGAATTTTGATCCGGTGAGCGCAAGGAGGCTTGCAACGGCCGCCAGGGTGAAAAATGGATTGAAAAATTACTTTTTCCAATCCCGTTGGCACTGCAAACAGTCACTAACTGGGGCGAGTCCAGGACTGCCCGTAGTTTCAACAGTTCATTTAGTGACCACAATGACAACGGCGTGGGAAAAAAGGGGCTTATGACCATTTTTCGCCCTTAACAACCGTTGCAGCATCCCCGTGCTCACCTGGTCGAGATTCAATCCGTCACTCGATTAACAACCGCCTTGCTTAGCGACGGAAGTTCCAGTCCCAGTCAAGATCATAAGTCGAAGACTATTTGTGACTCACTTAACAACTGCTTCACTGAGTGACGGTCATTCCAGTTCCAATTGTGGTCATTAAGTTGAGGACTTCCTGTGGCTCACTTAACTGCTTCGCTTAGTGACAGTCATTCCAGTTCCAATTGTGGTCATTAAGTCGAGGACTGCCTGCGACTCGCTGAACAACCGTCCTGCTTAGTGATGGAAGTTCCAGTCCCAATTAAAGTCGTAAGTCAAGGACTACCTGTGACTCCCTGAACAACTGCTTCGCTTAGTGATGGGAATCCTACCCTCAATCGTGGTCGTAAGACAAGGATTACCTCTACTCGGATTGCAAAATTGGTACCCCCGTTGGACGGCCACCAACAGAGGCGGTGCCGAGCCGCACAACACACTCAGCACAGGCAGTCCTAATCTTACAAGTTCCCTTAGTGACCGTTCAAAGTTACAACGGCGTGGAAAAAAGCGACTTACGACTGTTTTTTTTCCAGAGTTACGACCTTTGCAGCCTCCGGCACGGTCATGCAATCCAAATTCAGACACTGGGCAGCTGGTTCCTACTTACGACCGTTGCTGGGTCCCAGGGTCACGTGACCTCTTGATAAGCAGTCAACGGGGAAGCTAGATCCACTTAACAACCAGGTTATTAACTGATCAGTGATTCATTTTAACGACCGTGGAGAGAAAGATCGTCAACTGGGGCAAATCTCAACAAATGTCTCATGTAATGGCAGATATTGTGGGGGGGCCTCCGTTGTGGTCGTAAAGTCGAGGACTGCCTGGTAGCCAGCTGATTCCCCGATTCCTTGCCTCCCTAACTGTGTTTTAACTTAAGCTAACTGTGATTAATTTAACCCCTTCCCCGGATTGGCACCACAAGGTGGGGGCCCAGGAGGAGAACACGTGCGTTTGTGTGTCTGCGCAGAGACACGCCGGCGAGCGTGCCTTCGATCCTCATTTCCTTCCTCCCGGTTGCAATTTACTATTTATAGGCTACGCATGGTTAGCTTTAACCTTGATTTGGCTTGGGATAGACCAGGGTAGGCAACCTCGGCTCTTTTATGACTCTTGGACTTCAACTCCCAGAATTCCTGAGCCAGCATGGCTCAGCTTGGAAACCTCTCCCTTTCCCCTCAGCATGGCTGGCTCAGGAATTCTGGGAGTTGAAGTCCACGAGTCATGAAGGGGCCAAAGTTTCCCCCATGCTGGCTCAGGAATTCTGGGAGTTGAAGTCCACGAGTCATAAA